ACATATAAAAAGGAATGCTTATTAAAAATTTCAGGTGATAATTAGATATTTTCTAAAGTAAATACTGGTTAGGGCCTTGTACACCAAATCTAATAGTTGCCATAATTTTTATTTCTGCATATTTCATTATTATGTAGAAATAGATGACAATCACAGCATGCGGCTAAATGAACAGTCTGCAATATTTCATTTTTTCCCTGTATCCTTCCCTAAACAGCACCATCTTAGCTGAAGACATAGTACTAGTCCTTTGGAAATGGGCAACTCGTATGGGTGTCTATTACTGACGAAGCTATTTAGACTAGACTGAAGTGAAGTTTAAACAGAGATTCAGTTCAATTTCCACTCCAGTTTTCCCCCGTGTAAATATTCCCATAAATGTAGAAGATGGCTGAAAAGATCAAAGATCTGGAGCGACGCCAGACGTCTCTCTCTGCACCAAGGCGATGTACATACACATGGTCTGAACCCCAAACCTTATCTACATTAACTCTGTGCTTCCACCAACGAAATTAATCCACCTGACTGCAAATCGCTGCTCTTGGTCCACTCAGACTGAGGTTCATTATCAGGTTATCGAGGAGGAAATCACGCCCGGGCTCTCAACAACCTTCTCTATGCAGCGCACATCCTCTTCCACGTGCCCTTGACGACAGCCCCGTGGCACGAGCATCAGTGCCCAGGCCAGTCCCTGCGAGGCCCCACCTGTCTCCGTTTGTCCTGTCCTGCTGAGAGCTTAGTGTGTCCCTCCCCACTGCTCGCTGTTCTTCCTGTTGGCATCTGTGTCAGAAGAACGAAACTGACCCAACCAGGGGACGTGCCCTTAGCAAGACTGTCCAAAGAGTCAGCCAAGGAAGACCTGGCTTAGGAAAACCGCTGCTGAACTGTGGATCTGTAAGAAGTCAGAGAATCTTTCCAGATGAGACGTAAAATGGGGAGATGGAAGGAAAAAATAGCAGGGAGAAGAAAAAGAAAGGCAGAGCCTGGGAAGACCCAGATCCGAAATTATTTTCTTAAAATGGTTCAACTGCTTCCGTCCTTTCGCTTTGCCTCTGACTCATTTTTTGTCTCATGTTTCTCCCTCCTCCTGTCTTCCCTTTCTGAAATTCTTCTTGTCTGTCTCCTCCTACTCCATATTATAATCTGCAGCTTTGTTTAAAAAAAAAATCCCTTACTGTTTCAGTGCCTGGTAAGAAATCAGGTACAGATAATACAAAAAAAGCACATGACACGGTTTCTGCTGTCACGTAGGTTACAATGGCAGTACATGCACTGATTGCTAAGACAAATAATCAAAATGCCACCACCCACAGCGACCAATGGAAATAACACGTGAAAAACGCCAAGGAAAGGTGGGGAAAAGTGTACAATTTTGGTGGTGAGATTTTGTAGCAAGAGCGATAGAAGACATTAGAAACAGGATTTGCACAGGGCCNATTGGGTGCCTACTAATTAATTAACCTAGTCTTCATGATAACACCCAATATTATTCGTTTTTCAGCAAAAAAGAAAATAAAAACCAGAAGATGACGCACACCTTGCTTTGTCTCAGCCATCCCTGATGCTGCCTTCACACAGCTGCCCAGGGGTCCTGCTACCTGCATCAAATGCCAACCCTTGTGTGCATTCCTCCATCACTTGTCACATTCTCAAACTCTCCATTGTCACTTTAACATGGAAGCAGTGGTTGGTGGTGGTTTCTTTCTTGGTAGCTCTGATTATTTGAAAATGATGTTATGCAGTAGTCTGTGTTTTACATTTTTTTCATTAAAAAAAAAATCTAAAAGTCAGCAGCAGACATCAACAATCAGTAGGCAGTGTTATAAATTGTTGCAAAGTATGCAGTTTCAACCTAAAATTTCTGAGTCCAGCTTGAAATTAGTCCCAATAAATGGATGATAAAAAAAAAACACCAAAAACTCCTTTCAAAAAGCCAACAACAAATCTCAAAATTTCAAAGAATATAGGCAGGCAGATGTTTCAAGGTTATAATGCATGAAATAAACAGTGTTACTACTACGAGCAAGAGTTCTACTACTGGCGATAGTAAGTATACTACTACTAGTAATAGTATATTCAGCACCCCACCTGCACCAAGCACTGTCTAGACATTGACATGAATGCCTTCATTATATCAGCACCATGAGGCTGGCACTCTTGTGTCAGCCTTTTGCAGACCGGCGAGCAGGCCTAGGTTGGTGAAGAGCCTTGCCCTAGTTCACTTCTACTCTAAGAGACAGAACTCAAATTTGAACCCAACCCAACCCAACCCCCCAAATTTCACCATTACAGAGTTTTCACTGACACATAAATCGAACTCTGTGTAACTCAGATGGAAGCAGAAATGAATCGGGTGACATTTTCAATCCAATATCCTTTCCTAGCTCAGAAATAATGAACAGTGCAAACACGATATAAAAATCAGTATTTTCTTCAGGGGTTTTATACCTGATCTCTGCTATCCGACCTCTAAATATTGCCACTCGAGGTCCTGTTCTTCCTTGTTCTCTTGTTCTCCCAAGATGACCTATTAGCTCGATGAACTCAAACACGATAGAGTCGCATGGATTCAGACACCCTCCATATTTTGTACCCTCAGCCCAAACCTTACCTCTGTGNAGTCATGAAAACAGACGTAAAATACAACATTGGGGACATAGTGATACGGTTTTAGAGGGAGGCTAGACTTTTGGGGGGATTGCATCGTGTTACATAAATGTCTACCCACTATGTTGCATACCTGAAACTAATATACCATCACATGTCAACTGTAATTGAAAAACAAACTTAAAGAAGAACAAAGGAGGCTGGGAAAGGACCAGGAAGTAACACCCGAGTTTATATGTAAAAAATAGTGTGTGGTATTTCCTAAGTGGTTGAAACAGCATGTATCGAAAACAATCTCAAAGTTTGATCAATGCAATTTCAAAGTAATCACAGTTGATTGATTTCTAATAGATTGTTAAAAACTGTAATATTACATGCTAAATGGTATTTTACTTAACCACCATTCTCCAGGTTTTGAGTTACATGTAGTAAAGATTATAGAAAGATAGAAACAGACTGCATGAGGTTAACTGCAGAAACAGATGTCATTCATTCATTCCTTCAACCAATAGTCATCTCCTAATATAAGACAGTCATTTTTCCGGACATGAACAGCAAAAGCACACGTGCTCCCTGCCCTGGTAGAATCTATATTTCAGTGGAAGAGACCATAATTAATTAAATTGATCATTAATTAACTAATGACAATTTCAGCACTCAGGAAGTCCTCGATGTTACGACATAAGCACATAATAAGATACTGATCTAGTTGTGAGGTCAGGGAGGTTTGCCTGAAATAAGCAGCGATGAAGTTAGACCTAAAATAATAGTAGAATGTAACTGGTCATGGGGAGGAAGAGAATATTATGACAGAAAGAACCGTCTACTTAAAGGTGGAGCGTATGCTCCAGGCTAGGAAGAGGCGTGTGTGGCTGCTGGAGAGAAACAGAGCAATAGATAAATGTACCAAATCACCATGTTATCCTTCAACTCACTCAACGCTATGTGTCAATTGTATCTCAACTAAGAAAAAAAAGTCAGACATAAAAACGAAGCAAAAAAGACGACACTTCAGAGGGATAATAGCCAAACTCTGCTAGGCCTGTGTGTCCTAAGAGATGTATCTTTATCGTCAGAGAAATGGGGGAGCTCTGAAAGCACTTGAAACACTGTTTTCGTGACGCTTTGTGGCAATGGTATCTGTACTGCCAGGCCTTACACCATCACTTAGTTCTCTGTCCTCATGTGACTTCTCAGCTGCATTAAACAGTGAACTTCCCCTTCTCTAACCCTTTTCTTTGTCAGTTTCCAAAACACCACCATCTGCTGGTCTTCCTGGACCCTCCCGAGCTTGTCCTCAGCAGCAGCCATGTTGGGTCCTCTTCCTCTGCCTAAGTACTGTCACACACGAGAGCTCAGTCCTCAGCCTCTCTCTTTCTGGGTGACCTCCTTCACGCTGATGACCCGCAAATATATAGCTCCCACCAGATCTCCAGTTCAGGTCTCTGCAGTCACATTTGCTAGTCAACAGAATGTGGGGGTCTCCACTCCTCCCATCTTAAACTGCCCCAACTCCCAACCTCACCCCGACCTGTAAATACACCAGCCTGCATCCGATAACTTACACCACAAACACTAGTTTTATTTTTATTTCTCCTTTTCTGTCACAACTACGTTCGATTTATCGACAAGTCCCATCCATTCTGTCCCCACCATCTTAAGTGTGCNTTGCATGATTGTTGGGTTTACGTATTTTTATCTCATCGGGGTTCTGACATGTCCCCATCACCCAGGAAGGGCGGTGGCCTCACAAGAATTTCCAAAGCAAATAAGTTTAAAACTATGAGTAAGGAACCAAAAACTTGACTTATAACACATTCTGTGATAAGAATATACAAAAAGTGAATATTTTATTAAGTAGCCAAGTGTATTATTTGAAACTCTGTAAGTATTTAATAAAATATTTCACTAGTAATCAAAATTTGAGGAAGCAATCTCCCGGCCGGAAACAGGGAGTGGCTTACATGCAACCAAAGCCATGTTGTGACTTTAAAAAAATTCATGTTTTCTTAAAAGGATGAAAATTCCCTTATTTTGTCATTAAAATTGCCTCGGACTTTTCATAAGCTTACGTTCATGTACTTTGAAGGGTCAAGTAACAGTGTGGCTCTGGGAGTGCCCTTGAACGGTTGGTGAACAAAGATACAGATAGACAAGGCTTTCCTTGTAAATTGTGATTTTTTTTCCCCCAAACATTGATGCCTTCTTAAATAGAAACAATGTATCCTGTGGCAGAGCAAGCCATGCCTGTCTCAACAACAATGCTCTTGAGCACATTGCAGCCGCTTCCTCACCCCCAGTCACCAACCCTTAACCAATGTTTCTGTCTCTTTCAAGCCGATGGTCTCCACAGGAAAACAACAGCTAAGCAAAGGATGCTATCCAGGTCTTACCTGTCCCAGACATGCCTATGTCCAGAAGGGCAAAGCCAAATGCCAGAAGTCTTAGCCACACATACATCGTCATATCTGAGAATCAGCCGTACTCCTGTGACACAGCATGCGTCCTTCTGAAAAGACAAAATAAGGGTTATCTCTGAAAAGCTTTTCTCTGCAAAACTGAATCAAAAAGAAAAGAAATGAATGCGTACTCTTCCCTGTCGTCTTATCAGACGGGGAGCAGTTTCCTCCTCTGTCACCCTAAGAGCAAACCACTTGCCAGCTACACGAGCTGCTAGGCAGTGATGTCAGATTCGGTTTTACTAACTTCTCCAAAGTTAGCAAAGGGTCCTCTTTACAGGAAGTCAAGAAAGTTGTTTAAAGTCAGTGCAAAGGCATTTTACTTCCTTAATTCAAGTAACTAGGCTTAGTAGGCCTTTTAAAAGACCTTTTTCCTTTTAGGAAGATGTTTTTTGAGTATCCAATTAATGCTCCCTTATAGTACTCATTACAACTTAAAATATATATATATCCTTCCCAAATAATCATTTTCTTAGCTAAGAGGTGAAAACACAGATTTAGCATGGGTATGCGAAAATGGGGGTTGTCAAGATGAGACACTAGTAGGAAATACCTACATAGGATTTCAAATGACCAAATAAAGGAATAAACAGCTACCTATCTGGTTGTTTTGGGCAGCCATTACCATTTCCCATGGGGCAGCAAACCCATTTCCTATGCAGAAGTCCCCTCAGAAAATTGAACGGGTTGGCCCCAAATCTTTCAGTGATACCCTGTGGGGCCAGGAATGAAATCAGAACCTCACTCCACTATAGCAAACCCTGCTTTGAAAAATCAGTGCTTCTGTGACTAGAGGTATTCTTGGTGCTGTTCATGAGGAAAGCAATTGCAATGAAAATCAAGAACTGTCTTTGACAAAAGTTCATCTTCCCCCCCCACCACCACCCCACCCCGGCTCGGCAATACTTCCCAGCCTTTTTGATTCCAAGATCAATTAACGTGCAACGTTCTTCGTGATTCTGATGGGGTCCTTAGTAAGTCCCTCAATTAGAAAAATGTCTACTGGCAAAAAGCCACCACGAATTCAGTAGGACAATGAAATACATTGATATTATCACAACATCTGGTTTATTTAAAAATCATGGGCACACACATACAAGGCATGATTGTTTGAACTATAGGTAATGCTTTGGGGACGTCTACACAGACAGAGCCCTTGCTGGAACTTTTCAACCCCCAGTTAGGAAGACTGTTGGGGTCCTTGTATTGAAGTAAATAAATCTTTGATATTTATAAACTTATTTGTTTTACTCTTACTTTGGCGGCTAGGAGCTACAGAGCCAAATTTGTGCACGCATGCGCGTGTACACACACACATACATATATACACACACACACACCCTTTGTACAAACAGAAGTAACTCCACATCTCAAATTCTGGCTAGTAATAACACGATAATAAGATTTTTGTTGTGATTGCGATTTTATTGTGATTCTGATGATCATAGCTAACACACCGGGCTGTCACCATATCCAGGACTGTGCTTAGCACTTTAACTATGTAATCTATTGGGCTGTCGGAAAGTCATGACGCATTTTTGCAACGAAAAACAGAGAACAAATACGTCATGACTCTTCCGACAACCCAATAATTTGTACAGCAGCCTGTGAGAGACTTCATATTGCTATTCCGCCTTTAGCTGGGAAGCTCAGAGCGCATAACGGATGTGTCCAAGCTCTCACAGCCAGTAGCCAGGGTGTGTTTTGAACCCTCTCCAAGTTTCACCTCACTTTCCTTCTTTTTCTTACCAACCTCCTTCATTCTCTCCCCCTTCCCCCAATTTTTCTTACTAAGTATCTTTATAATTTTCAATCTCTAAAAGACAGAACACTGATGCCATGAAAATGATGTGGTTCTCTTTTTGCAAATGTATTTTTAATTAAAATAGCTGTAAACATAAGCTCCATTTTTCAGTAGGGAAGCCTACTGAGAAATATATCAGAGGTCCCGAATTTAAGTCCAGTGGACCCCTGCACAACACCAGGATTAGAGGNAAAAGTAAAATTATAGGACTGGGAGCCCAGAGAACCCTAATATTATACCTAAGGCAAATGTGGGGGGCCAGTAGACAGATGGTAGATGTGTGTGTGTGTGCATTATCTAACTACATATAAAATATACACATGTGTTTACATATAAGTATGCATTTGTAGTGTACACATGCATGTATATTTATATATGTGCACATTATGTACATATATTTGTGTGTACTATTTAACTAGCGTATATAAAGCACACACACATAACTAGTAGGTATGCTTGGATGCATATGTACATGAACAGTGTAGAAATACCGACAAGTATACCCGACGCTAGTTCATTACTGGTGAGAGGTCACGTGGCCCAGAATGCTTGGAAAAGACCCAGCCCAGGCCAACCAGCCGCCCTAAGCTTCCTTACGGAGAGCAAGAGAGAAACAGGAAAGAAAGACCCATAATCCCACCTTACCTTCCCTCTACTAAATGCGTTGTAGATTCCAGTAATGAGAAGGGTCTCAGGCAGATTTTTATCGGGAAAATACTTTTTTACAAACATCAGTAAATAATCATACTCACAAATCTTGAAACGGTAGCATATTTAGCCCCGAATAGGATTGCTTATCAAGTTCAATTCGTAATTTGTTTTGAACACCTGTGATGTGCAAAGCATAGTACGTGTTTGTAACCTGAGTTATTTCCTTTTCATGCTGGTGGCAAAATGAAGAATTAGGTGCAGGAAACGAATCTTAGCTGTTATGACTCATTGCTCACGTTCTCAGCTATGATGGAGGCTAAAGGCACCGGGCAGTACATCTTTCTCAAACCCAGTGAACATTCATCTCTACCTGCATTTGTGAAACCATCGTCGCCCCCTAGTTACTTGGAAATTTTAAACCAAGTTTTGGTTTCCAGTTTTCATGGCAAAAGAGCACAGGGCAGAGAGATCACCAACTTCTGTGTACAACTCAGCCCAGCATTGCTGCTCTGACGGAGTGGAACTGTCTTGTGTTTTGGAAATGGACTAACACGTCTGAATCGTGTGCACATTGATCCATTGATGTCTCTGTGCATTTGGCCCTATTCTTCATGTCTTCAGAGTACACAACATAAATTTGATACCCAAAAGGCTCATATTTCCTACGAACTGTAAACTCAAATTTAACACATTAAAATAAAATATATAATCCAACAANCATTTGCATTTGGGTGGAGCTGGAGGGCATTATGCTAAGTGAAATGTGTCAGACAGAGAAGGAGTACATATGTAAAATAGGTGAAAGACTAAATATTTGTAAATACGTAAGAATAAAGTAATCTAAAAAAATATTGATGCTATAGAAACAGAGAACATATTGGTTCTACTGGGGGCACAGGGTAGGGGCTTGGGGGGAGATAGGTAAAGGGGGGCAGAAGGTACAGACTTCCAGTTATAAGGTAAGTAAGTCCTGGAGGGTGATGTACAGCACGCTGACTATAGTTAACACTGCTGGATGGTATATCGGAAAGTTGTTACGAGAGCAGATCCTCAAAGTTCTCATCACATGAAAAGAATTGTACTTCTGTGAGGTGATGGATGTTAAGTAAACTTAATGTGGTGATCATTTCACAATATATACATGTGTCATTATGTTGTGTATCTTAAACTAATATAATGTCACATGTCAATTATATCTCAATAAAATTGGAAAAACACTTTTTTTTTTTTTTTAAGCTGAGCTCATCCTGCCATCTGTTGGCAGCTCGGCTCAGGCCGGGAATCAAACCGCTATTGCTCGGAGCTTGCATTCTTGAGTGAGCTCTTAACCAACTGAGCCACTTGGCCGGCCCCAAAAAAAAACCACTTTTTAAGTTTATAAGATCTCTAGTGATACCATCCTTTAAATTGGTGACACTAATATTTTATATTTTTTGGTTTTTTTTCTTGAGCATTTTTACTAGAGATGTACTGATCTTTTCAAAGGACCAATTTGGAGATTTTGTTAATTCTATCACATATATTTATTTTATTTTATAGTTAATTATATATGAGCAAAACCCAAATCAATGATCTATTATTTCCTTTCGTGTACTTTACTTCGGTTAGACTCCATTTTACTTTCTTGAGATGGAAGCTTATATCTCACTTTTCTTACCTCCTTCATCTCTGAAGGCAGTTGGGTTTACAAACCCTTTCAATGGCCATTAACTTGTCTAACATCAGTGTGACATGTTTCTACATTAATAAAAGGTAGCAGAGCAAGGATTTGACACAGGCTGTCTTACTCCTAAGTTTTTCTTTTTCATATAGGGCTAACCANTTGGTATCTGCAAGGGACTGGTTCCAGGGTCCCCCAGGGACACCCAAATCCACGGATGCCCAAGCCCCCTCTATAAGATGACAGAGTCAGCCGTCAGCATCCACTGTGTTCCACCTGTGGTTGGCTGAAGCTGCAGCTTCAAACCCCACGGGCACAGAGGGCTGACTATGTATTTATTATAAGTGGACCCTCACAGTTCAGACCTGTGTTGTTCCAGGATCAGCGTCAACTCCACATCCAATTCCTTAAAATCCATTTGCAGTGGAGAACTATTTGGGGGCTGGTGTTGAATTTCCTTAAGCAAACGCTTGTGTTCTGCTGTGTTGCTCTGATGGCAGCCTATGGAGAAAAACGCATGACAATCTAGTAAAAGGGAGTGAAGTATATAAAACATACTCTATAACAAGCTACACACAGGGGCTTAGAAGCCTTAAAGAGACATGTTTAAAGAGCTTTGCAGAAACACTATGAATGCCAGTGCTTCAGTTCCAATTCGGGCAGGTGGGTAGAGAGATTCAACCCAGTGCATACTAAGATTAACCAGCAACAAATGAGGAGAATTCTGTATTTTATTTTCATGTGTTAAAACGAAGTTCAGTGTCTATAGGGAAAGAGGAGACTTTGAGCGGCGCACTTTATACTGAGGACACTAAAGGTATAAAGAAATGGAGCGCCGTGCAGAGAGATGTCAGTGAATAAGCCTGCACAAGTCTTGGGCTCGCAGAGCAGACACAACAGGGAGCCTGAGGTCCAAGCGGGAGGGGGGGAGGGCAAGACGGAGGAAGGCCCTCGCAGCTTGCCAGGGGACAGGCCCCTGCCGGTCCTTTCTCCCCGGACAGCACTAACCTGGACACCTAGGTAGGATGGCCAGCCTTCCCAGGGGCGTCCGAGCAAATCTCTGCATTATCACTCATGGGCCGAGCATCCAGGCAGAGGCGAGCGGCAGCCAAACAC